AAAAACTTTTTCTTTGACAAGTTCGGTATGCCAAAGTTCCAGGCGAGTAAGTTTTGCATACAGCAAGGGATATTATTCTTAGCCGTCCCCAGGTAGGGTTCATCATGCACCGTCCGGCTCTTCTACCAGTACAGTCACGAGCCGCCTTCTTTAATCTCAATAGGGGTTAAACGAGATGGCATACAGTCACTTTTATTGCTTTGCCCGATGAACTGATCCGCTTCATGAGCGAATATGAGCGTCTAGTAAGAGGCCAGTGGTCATCGGTCTCTTTTACCTCCAGGTCATAGCCATTGTCGTGGTCATTACGGCTGTAAAAATCACCGGTTTTCCCGGCTGCAGTGATGTCCAGAATTTCTGCTGGTCACCTTTGCCGATCACGTGCCACAAAGTTTAGCTAATGTTGCTTCCACTGTTTTTGTCCTGAGGCATCCGACCCAGAGGGAGTTTCTTCAACTCTGACAGTGTCACACCAAGTGTTAACTTGCCTGTGTCTTTCCCGGTGCCGATATATTTCAGCGTTACGTTCAGTGTGATGGACGTGACATTGTCTCAAGCATGTCAGGGCACTGTCCCAGTCAAGACAGTCGACGTTCTTTCTGGCAACCAAGAGTTAGATAGCGTTGCATCAGGCTTGTATTGCGGTATTGATCATATGGTCGATAAATCATGTCCGCGGGATGATACGTCGTAGAATTCTAGTTTTCTCACGTCTTTGACCGCACCAGTAGAGCGGGTCTCTCAACTCCATAAAAGACGATGAAATCGATTGCAGTCGTTAGAACTATCTACTTCGTTTTCAACGTAAGGACTTACAGAACTGGAGGAAAGGAGTATAATTATTGGTATATATTGGCAGGAATTATAATATGACACGTGATATCATGCTGATGTATTGAAGCAGAAATTATTGCTAGCAGCAGCACTCTGAAAGACTGGTAGCTAAAAATGCGGATTCCATAATGCATGAAAAATATTCATCATTGTGCTGTCTCTTCCCGTGCCATACCTTATACATTACCTTTCCGTTGCTAGTCGCTGAATAGCAAAAGGCGACTATTTTTATATATTAAAACGTGACATAATTGTGTCGTGTTTTTCCAGCGATTTTTTATCGCTACGTCACGACAGCTGAAACGAATCGAATCCATTACTCGATCTCCTGTGTACAGTCATTTCCAAGAAACGATTTCCGGTGTTACCACGATTCGAGCCTGTGCAGTGCAAGAACAATTCTTCAATGATTTGAAGTTTCGTCTCAACGAGAACCAAAAGTTCTACTACCAAAGTTTCACGGCAAACAGGTTAGTTATTTACGAATTAATTATGCTAATTCATACACTTCTTATTTAAGGTGGTTGGCTGTGACGCTGGAAACGACGGGCAACGTCATGGTTCTTTTTGCAGCAATTTTTGCTGTCATCGCCAGGGACTCAGACAGTATCTCAGCGGGACTAGTTGGCTTGTCTATTTCCTATGCATTACAGGTTATTTAAAAAACATTTTTCATGTTAATTAAATTTGTAGCTTAAAGTTTATCTACGCAGTACATAGTCTAAACCCCAAGAAATCGTGTTCTTCGAAAGTAAATTGGCCATAATAAATCTTCTACACGTAATGTTCTGTAACTGCTGGGATATCGGACTCCCTTGCATCTTCATGACCGAGAATAATTTGCGGAATCCTTTTTCATGAGCTTGTGGTAGAGCGCTGATCCCTGTCTTTGTGTCGTCGGCCAGGAGTACCTTATTGTGCTTTATAAGCATTTATCTACAGATCGATGACTTTTACAACGTGGTCTTTATTTCTCTCCCATGAAATGGTACTCATTTATCACCCTCAGAAGGAACTAAGGCGAGTTACCCAACTGTGGCTCAGGACATGCCTTAGTGAGACTCCTCGTCATCTATCTACTTCCTAAAGGTTGCTATATAGCTGGTTGCTTATTAGTTTGAATTTTGTGGGTTTCTCTCCTCTGACTATGAATCTATCAAGTGAATTCATCCTCTATATCCCGTGGAACGGGCAAAGAATAGCTTAGAAATCGCATGTTTCTGTGAAACATAATGGCGGTTATTCGCACGAATCCAAAAGTATTGCGTCGTCGTAAATGGTATAGATTTTAAAATTTTAACCTTCCATGCAACCCCTTGAAAAGAAGACAGCATTAATTCGAAATATATCCATCAACCTGACGATCTTATCGTGCCTTCTAAGCCAGGTAACTGCTATGATATTCAAAGTCATCCATCTTTTTTATGCAATTCTACTACATCATCAGTGTGCATTGTTATGTTGAGCTCAGTCAGTTGTATTAAGAGGTGCCATAATAAAATATTTATTTCACACTCGATTCTTTACCCTCTTGTTTTGTAATAATTATATATTGCTTTCTGAATAAATTAAGGCTTTCCTCAATATTTCTTGGCAGCACCGTGAGAACGAATGAAGAGACAGTCACGAGTTCTGCCTAGTTTCATAGCAGCAACAGGCAACACTACGTTATGCTTGTGGCTAAAGTATGGTCAGCAAAAGAGCTTGCCTTGCTTCTAATATTTCCGGTTAATACAGGTTTCGACATCCATTGTTAATAACTGACCGCTTCAATGGTTCTAAACACAGTGAGACAGACAGATAACAGTCTTTATCATTATTGCTGATATTGTATCTAAATCTCATTGGCTATCTTACGTTTGTGAACGAAGTTTCCTTAAACCGCGAATCTGTTTCTTTGTGTCTAGAACCACTGAAATAGAAACTATTGAAGAAAATGAATTTCAGAAATATGCGTTATTGCTCTCTACTTAATTAGTTATTATGCAGATTTCGGTTCGTTGCTTATGCCAACTTACAAAAATTGTTTGTAATCGTTAGCAAAATTTTTTGCAGGGTTCAACGAGACATTTAAATTGCTCATTTGTGATATATTGCTGGCATCAGAAACAATGAAGTCAATGTTTCGATTAAAAGCTTTCGTTTAAATTGTTTACTGACAGTCAGGTAAACGTGCCTAAGCGCCGAAATCGTTTAAATATCGTATGTGAGATGGCCTTGAATTGACAAATGTGTGACTAATTAACCAAAACATAATTAATCTTTTGCATTTATTTACGTTGATGAAATGTCGCCGTTGGAAAGCGGTCTTTCGTGAGTCTGCAGTGTTATACTTTCGTTACAGATAACCCAAGTGCTGAATATGGCCGTTAGAATGTCGAACGATTTGGAGTCGAACGTGGTGGCGGTAGAACGTGTAAACGAGTACACGCACACGCCAACAGAGGTATGTTTCAGATGTTCTGTCTTTTGTCTTAGCTCAGTTTGCGTATAATGAGAGAGCTTCACGTTTATCATAATTAATGTAACTCCTGACCAGTGAAAAATACGAAGGAAATATCCTCAATGCAATCCCTTTCATTTTGTCGACTTTCTATCGACTTCAAGACCGAGCTCGTTCAGTCGACAGAGTGTCAGACTCATAATCGAGAATCGATCTTTCGAGTTCCGGCCAGAGGGCTACTTGTTTCTTGTCCTTCCAAGGAGAAAACATGACTTTCACTCTGTGCGAAAAAACATGACTA